CTGAGGCACTGACAGGGAAGTTAAATTGTAAGGACAGAAAGGAATCAGCCAGGCTTTATAAGGCTCTGATTTATAGGGCACCAGCGACTGATAACTCTTTTGAGGTCAATCCAGCCTGTACAGCATGAGAAAAGGAACAATGAAGTGCTTGAGCCTCTTAGGCCCTCCCTAAAAAAAAGGATGGGTGTGTAGTGTTGGTACACACGTTAATGAGGTATTTGAAATGTTGAGGGGTTGTCGGCGTTTCCCCGCTTTACCATCCCTTCATTTCCTTACCCTCTCCAAAGCAGTTTATCCTGCACATTACCCTCAGCGTACGCCCAGATCTTACCCGTATTTTGTGGGAAGTGTGTCTCCAGTCACAGTGCTCAGTAAAGCACATGGCCTTTAAAAAATGCCCTGATCTGTGGGAATAACTAAAATAACTCATGCCTGATGCTTGTATGTTAGCGTTGCCTCGCCATCCGTTTGCTACCCTGCTGAGGATCTAGCATTACATCATACTGAGCTAGGATCCTTTGCCCTGGGCAGCTACCAGTCCCTGTAGTATCTGTGGCGGTACTTCATCTATTTATTTTACTTGTTTTTATCACAGTCAAATAATCTGTGGCTTCCCGCTAAAGAACAGCTTCGATTTTCCTTATGAGAGAAGGAAAAGTTAAAGAGTGGTGGGTCAGGAGTAGAGCAGAAGCAGGGGCTGGAGGATTATGTGTGGAGGAGCACTAGGATGGCTTAAATTTCACCGCAGCCTCTGTACCTGGTAGTCCCCATTGACTATAGGTGGCTCCCTCCTCCCTACCGTGGGCTGCTGAGTCACTGCTCAAAGGCGCTTGGCTTTTGCCACTCTACCGTATACGGTGTATATATACGTATATATACCGTACATGACTTCAGGGGAATTTAGGCCATCTGAATATGGCCCTAGTTGGTGCTTTTTTTTTTTTAGTTCATTACTGAAAAGAAGTTTGCTGCAATTGCCAGAGCTCACGAGCCCGTAGAAGCATGGTGTGGTTTCGGAATAATTTTTTTATATGCTTCATGTTGAACCAGTCACAGCAGCATGGGTGCACTTCCAGCGGTATGTTAGGAGAAGAGCTGTTACCAGTTGTGTGTGTCCCTGTTCTTTTTGCGAACATCAGATCACAGACGTAGTCTGGTTTGTTGTGCTGTGGATGGGAAGTAAATTCATTCTCATTTGTGGAAGCGTAGAGTGAGCAGAGAAGAGGGTAGTATGGAGGCTCATGAGGTTGCAGGTTTTACCTCTGTGTACATTGTTGTTTAATTGCTGTTGTTCTGAGTCTGCATCTGCTGTGCTGTTCTCGAGTGTCTGGTGGGACAGGTCGGGGCTGTGTGTGGAGTCCCATCCTCAAGTGCTACAGAGCAACTCTGGCCCGCACTGCTCAATATTTGGTCTCTTTGGATCTGGTAACCTCTGCCTTTACTTAAGTTTCTTCTTTTCCCTTGCCCTTACTTTACAATGCTGGTTGCTTCCTCCTAGGTTGTAGAGCTCCATTTTGTTTTAATGGCCTGAGCTGCATTTCAAAAAAATTGAGTTCTTTTAGTGAAACATGACTTTCAAGAGGGTACTGGAGTCTTGAATTCTCAGTCACTGCTTGCAGAGCAGAACTTGCTTTGGATTTGTTGGCACGTGTGCAGCGTCTGAACATTTTCACAAACGTAGTGTGTTTTATCATGAGCCGGCAGTGTGCCCAGGTGGCCAAGAAGGCCAACAGCGTCCTGGCCTTTATCAGAAATAGTGTGGCCAGCAGGAGTAGGGAAGTGATTGTGCCCCCATACTCGTCACTGGGGAGGCCGCACCTCAAATACTGTGTTCAGTTTTGGGCCCCTCACTACAAGAAGGACGCTGAGGTGCTGGAGCGTGTCCAGAGAAGGGCAGTGAAGCTGGTGAGGGGTCTGGAGCACAAGTCTTATGGGGAGCGGCTGAGGGAGCTGGGGTTGTTTAGTCTGGAGAAGAGGAGGCTGAGGGGAGACCTTATCACTCTCTACAACTGCCTGAAGGGGATTGTGGCGACGAGGGTGTTGGTCTCTTCTTCCAACTAACTAGTGATAGGACGAGAGGAAATGGCCTCAAGTTGTGCCAGGGGAGGTTTAGATTGGATATTAGGAAAAATTTCTTCACCGAGAGGGTGGTCAAACATTGGAACAGGCTGCCCAGGGAGGTGGTGGAGTCGCCATCTCTGGAAATGTTCAAAAAACGTGTGGATGTGGCGCTTCAGGACATGGTTTAGGGGCCATGATGGCGCTGGATTAATGGTTGGACTTGATGATCTTGAAGATCCTTTCCAACCTAGTGATTCTGTGATTAATTTTTATTTCCTTCTGAATCAAGACTTCGTGGTGATCCTTGAGTGCTTAGTGAACAGCTTGATTGCTTTTACCTTCCCCTGAGGAATTCTGTGTACCGTTTCTTTTCAGAGTTTCTGAACATGTTACTGAGCCAGATGATGCTTCCCATATCCAAGCAATTTAAAGGCATTTATGAAGAAAACTTTCTTTTGAAGTGTTCTGTGAGATTCCTTTCCTCGTGCACAAATACCTTCCAAAACTCCATGGATTGAGAAGATGAGATTTAGATCCCACTCCTGCCAAAATATATTACGAAATCTTGATGTTCCCAGTGCTGTCGTTGTACTACAGCCTCCATTGTTATACAAAAGCCTCCAGGAATGGGTCCATCAAGCTTTGCCAAATGGCAAGGTGTTTTGAGGGAGTGGGTAGAGGAACCTCACTCCCATAGTCAACTCAGGCTCCACTGACCCCTTTTCACAAAGTTTATTGATATGAGAATAAATTCCACCTCGAAAGATTAGTTACTGCCCCAAAGTTGCAGAGACCCTTCAAGTCCCAGCATAGTGCTTTCGCCAGAGGTCCACCGGAGGTTCATCAGTGGCCAGCAGCATTTGTGCTGTCTCTCCTGTGCCTGCCAACTTGCTTTTTCGTGGGTTTTTTGTCTGTGGAGGTCCATCTCCCTGCTAGGGAAGCGAGGAACTGCAGTGCACCTGATGTCTCTGGGAGAGTCTCCACAAAGTCTGGGCCTCTCGTGCCTCCCCAAGAGAAGAGGGCAAAGGAAAGGGCTAGGAGCTCTGCGGGTACGTATGCCCGCTGAAAGTTAGAAACTGTTGACTCGTAGGCCATGACCTCCTTGCATATTAGGAACTTGCCAAAGTTGGGAGTTGCCAAAGCTAAAATACATTTTCCCTCTGCTCTCCAAGCAGGACACTGGTACCAGTTCGGCTGTTTTGGCATCACTGCGAGCAGGTGCAGCTGCTGGCCCTGGTCGTGCTCGCGCACGGGGGCGTCCCAGCAGGCCAAAGTGGGCACTGAGCAGGGTTAAAAACAACATGGCAAAATAAGGAATGTGTTTGTTTTTAACTTGGATCAGTTCCCAACACAGACCACTGCATGGATCCATAAAAAGCTGTGGAACAACCAAGGAGGTGTCTTGGAATGGGAAACCATTGGTAGGAGATTGGAGCAGAACCAACCCCCAAATTCAGAGGCGTCAGGAAGGGTTTAAAAAAGAGGAAGACAACTGCTTGGAGTGCTTTAGGAGAACTATTGCGTGTGGAAGGGAGCAAGGAGAAAGAGAACTGATGGATTTTAACATTTTTTTCATCATGCTATGATGGATCTGTACAGGAAAGCTTGATAATTGAATGAGGAATTTGCACAGAAGGGGCTGCCAGCACTGCAGTAGTTGATAAAATGTTCAAATAATTTTTGTTAGGAGCAAGAAAGTAATTGAATCTTTGTTGATGGTTTCACAGGCTTCTGTTACATGGCATAGCAAACTTTGGAGTTCCTCTCTGCCCCTCTCTCTTGTTTTTATGTTCTGGTATCATACTCATCTTAAGTTCATCTTCTGCACTGAATTTTTTTCCTCTTGTAATTTTCCCCTTGAAGCAAATGTCGTCTGTGTTATGTGCTCAGCAGTCCATGCATGACTAGGATTGCCAATGCTGTTCTCTCTGCAAGGAGGGAATCGGTCAGTATTTTACACTTGCAGTTCCTCTAACTGGAGCACACTGTCAAATTTTTAGAATGTCTACAGATGTTTCTTAGCTAAATGAAAACAAACCAACCCCTTCACCATCTTTGGATGTCTGTGCTCAGTTGTTTGTTTTAACTCGTGTAGCCAAAGATATGATGCCAGTCTTGGAAAGTGAACTCATTTAAGAACAGATGTGTTTGCTGTTAGTAAATGACTAGAATTACTATAGACTACAGGTTGTTGGAACAAAGTAGAAATACAGGTTTCAGAGAGCACTGAAAACGTAATATATTGATGTAAGAGAAACACTGTTAGATGAAAATGGACAAGCAATACAGAGCACTTGCACAAAATGGAAAGGGGAGTGGTATTCAACTGGGGGCTCTATATTTGTTGGTTTTGTTTTTTTTTTTCTTTGCTCGGTTTCAGTTTGGTTTCAGACTTTGGCATCTTGTTCTCTGGTTAATAATGCCCACATTGTATGTTTTGGTGATGTACTCGGCAATGCAGTAATGTCAGGGAAAGGAGGAGCTCACAGTAAAGCTCTTGTGATTCCATTCTCTGGAAATGCCAGCGGGACCAGCTGACTTTTGTAACCTCTGAAATGTACGTCAGGCGACCACTGCTCCCATAGAGGCCCTCTCGCCTTTCCACTGGCCTCGCTAAGTGTCCAGGTGTCCTGTTCCTTCCCGTCTGGGGGAGGTAATGCTGGAGCCATCGCTTATGTGTTCTGTCCTCCTTTTGGTTCGTAGGGGACGGTCTTCACTTTGGAATCCGAAGAGGAAGAATACCCTGGGCTCATCGCAGAGGACAGTAATGACATCTACATCCTGACCAGTGACAACTCGGGACAGGTGAGCCCCCCGGAGTCCCCCACGGTGACCACGTCGTGGCAGTCAGAGAGCCTGCCTGTTTCCCTGTCAGCGAGCCAGAGCTGGCACACAGAGAGCCTGCCGGTCTCCCTGGGGCCCGAGTCCTGGCAGCAAGTGGCCATGGACCCTGAAGAAGTGAAAAGCCTGGACAGCAACGGAGGGGGTGAAGAAAGGAGCGAGAACAACTCTTCCAACTCTGATATTGTTCACGTGGAGAAGGAAGAGATACCGGAGGGGATTGAGGAAGCAGTGGTGTCAGCTGCCGCTGCAGAGACCACGCAGGCAGCGTTTCCAGAAACCCCTGCTTCTTTGCAGGAAGTAAAACCTCAAGCTGAAATTGCTGCCGTGGAAAAAGCACACCCCTCCGCACTTCTGCGTACAAAACAGGAGGAAAAGGGAAAAGTGGCTGAAGAGCTTGTTGAACCCGAAATCCCCATTTTAAGTAAACCAGTCCCAAAGTTAGCCCCATCAGAAGAAAAGGCTGCACCAGAACCTGAGAAAATACTGCTTCCAGGGGAAAAAAAAGTGGGGAAAGAGGGCCGTTTGGAAGAAATAGAAGAGAAATCCTCTGCTGCAGAGGAGAAGCCTATCCTATTGCCAGAAGGGAAATCTATATTGCTGTACGGTGGGGCTGCTGCGGTAGCTATATTAGCTGTAGCAGTCGGAGTAGCGCTGGCGCTTAGAAAAAAGTAACGGAGCTCTCTTGAGGAGGGGGGCGGGGGGGGAAGAGAGAAGAGAACATGATCCAAAGGAGGGGGGAGAGAGAAGAGAGCACGATCCAATTCTTGTAGTTGTGTTACCTAAAGGTTGAGCTGCCTGCTGTTTAATTGGACATTTGAGTTACTTAATGGTGATGGGGTGAGGTCGTTCAATAAGCCTCCAGCTATGGACAATCACGTTTTTAGTAGAATTGGGGCGGGGACTGGTTTTTCGTGATTAAAGTACAGGGGTATTTTTAAAAAACAAACTAATAAATTCTGCAAATTTAAGAACTTAAGAGCAGGTGCTGAAGAAAGGGGTGCTCGTACTCTAGGAACTGGAACAGAGGATTCTCCAGGGGAAGGGAAGAGCCAGCTGCTGCCAACCCTTGGAGTTTTTGGCTTCTCAGACTGGCCGCTATTGCAGCTGTGCTGTCTTGTCACTTCCCGTCATGCCCCCGAGCCCTCCCCAACAAACATTAGCCAACCTGAGTCCTGTAGCGAGAGGCTGGTCTCCCTTTTGTTTTGGCTTCCTCTCAGGTACAGCACTGCTCCTTGTAGCCTTGCAGGTTCCTCCGAAGCCCCAGTGGGAGAGTGCTTATTCTTACCTCTTTGCTCACACCGGTTTTGGCCCCTAATGTTTACTGGAGCCCCATCCTGTTAAAGATGCTGCCTCTCTGTAGCTGTATTATCTCTGAGCATCCTGGTGTTCCTGGGGCAGAGGTGCTGCCCAGGAGAGTGGGAGGGACACTGCTTTCTTTGCTGGTTTGAGAATCTGTTTGCTCTGCTCCTGCCCAGCCCGCTTTACTGCCACCAGTTGAGTTACCAGAGGTGCAAAATTCATGCTGGGCACGCTGCCGCTCTGAGCAGCGCTCTGATACTGGGGTGTATTCAGCAAAGATATGGCAAAACTGCGTGGAAATGAGGCCAGTGCCTCCTGTGCAACTCAAAGGTTTAAGACAACATCCTGTATCACGCTGCAGTCTGTATCGTCTTTCCCAGGGCAAGCACAGCGTGCATTTAGTCCTGACTTGGTCTTGGCTGTGACAAAATCCACCACATAAAGCAATGGATTCTAGTGACTGAGCAAAACAGCATTAAACATCTCCTCTATCTGCCTGTTCTGACCTGACCTGGAGTGTTGTTCAGTGCGATTTCTTTTGTGACTGTGGATCTGCAATTAGCTAAACCTACAGGTTCACAAAAAGATGAGAAAGTTACTTTGGCAAAAAGTGACTCCCACTTCTGCAGTCACAAGACTTTGAGTGTGTGTGAAGAGAAACCTTTTTAAGTATTGCCACGGGCGTTGTTAGTTACATCAGATCCAACCACAAGCGTTCCTCTTCCAGCGCGCGTTTCTGTGTTTGTCCTTCTCTGTGCAGCAGCTCTCTGGGCAAGACCGTCGGCTTTTCAGGCAAAACTACCGACTCCTCTGTGAGGGTTCGTGCTGGCAGTGTGGCTTAGACCAGGTGGAGGTAGGTGAAAGGGAACTCGGGATAATGTACAGATGGAAACGTGAGCTTATGGGAAGCTCACTCTTCATGAAGCACAAAGACAAGGTACTTTATTTCTAAATAACCTTTATCTAGAGTATGTCTCCTAATGAGCCTGTTTCTTCAGTGATCTGAGAATGAAGAGATTTTAGCACATTCTCTATTTTACAATATTTTTGCTACATTTTCCTATCCCACCTGTAATACCAGGATGCTGGGAAGTCAGTAAGAACCTGGCAGATTGTGAGGAATTTTTTTTTGTTTAAGCTACTTTGAGAGTGGATTTTTTAGAAAACTTCTTGGATTTTGAACTGTGTGTGTGTGGAGTATGGAGAGGAAGGATTGTCATGTACGTACTGCTGCTGTGGACTGAACCCAGGAGCTCTGAGCTCTGGACTTTACTGTTGATCATGGATTGCTCCTTTCCCGTGTACAAAAGGTAGTAGGTTGGCCTTAACAGAAAAAGCAACCATTTATCATGTTGCAAAAAGGAATTTACTTGGTTTTGCCATTTCCTGGTGCCCTGCTGGTACTCTCATTGCTGTGCTGTGTGCCCAGAACGGGTCACTGGGACCTCCTCACGCCATGGACTCTCCGGTGTCTGCCTTCCCACCACTGCAGTTCCTGCTCCTGGCACCTCAGGGGAGCTTCCCTCGTGTGGAGAGGAGAGGTGTCGTTAGGTTCCTTTTGTCACAGATGTGCACGAATGTTTACAGTTTTGCTTTATTTCCTGTGTCGCAACAGTGTTTATCGACAAGTGACACAGTCTGTGAGGGTACCTGATTGTTCCTGTCTGGCAAGGGCTGCTTTACTGCCCCGTAGGTTGGGGAAGGTCTGCCCCTCTCCTGCTGCTTTGCTGATGGCTTCTATTTCTGTTCCGGGCACGTTCTCTGTGGGAGGAGGGCTGTTCTTAACCCGACCTACATTCTCTCCTTACTGAAGATGATGCACCTATATTTGAGACATGCCTGCAATCTGTGGCCACACAGCAGGTTACACAGAAATACCCACATGCACGCTGAAGCAGAGAGAGAAATTTTTTTAGATACTCTGGATAACTTGTGTACAAGCTGGGGGTGTGTGTCAGGTGTTCCTTCAGCTCTTCTCTGTACGTGGTTGTTTCAGTAGTAGTGTGGGAGACAAGTACAGGATGGGTGAGAAGAATAAATCCACACCAGCTAGGGAAGAAGTCCCCAGCTTGTTGGTACAAGGAGCCCAGTGGGGCATTAAACAAGAAGTGGCTTCTTCCACACACAGCAGTGAGAAGGTGGCAGCAGTAGTAAGGAAAACAAAGGACTTTTAAGCATTTTCACAGTGGGGGTGAAAGCCTTGGGTATCTTTCTGGTGTGTTGCTGCTTTTAATGGAGCATCAGCTGCACCGTGTGTTTTGGTTGCTTGGTCCCTTCTTTATATACTTCCCCTTTTAGGGTCTTAAAGATTTGACAAGTCAGGAAGAATTTGTACCCTCTTCTCTCCCCACATCCCTGACCACGCATTTATCGTACGTGTCTCCTCTGGGAACACGCCGTTAGCTAAAAAGGTTGGTTATGAACTTGAATTCTACTGAAGGTGGAGCCCTGTGGTCAGAGCAGGGCCAGGCCCTGTGGAAGCCACCAAAGGGCAGGTAAGCTCAGGTGACAGTGTTCTTACAGCCTTGAGCGCCAGGCTGTGCGCTCTGCTATAGGTGTGAGTTTAGAATATGGAAGGGTTCCCCCCAGCCTCCATCTTCAAGTATGTTAAAGCAATCCTAAACTGCAGGGTCTGATTGCCCCACACCATGTGATGTGACCTCGCTTTAGTGGGTCTCATGCAGCTGGTGGAGGAAAGGCAGTAGCTCTGTACTTACAAAAGGGCATACAGAACTACTATCTATCTCTTGTGTTGCTTATCCCCTTCCCAAAAGTGCCTAAATATCTGTCCTCGAGTGGCCTGTACCTTAACAGAATATCTACCTTAGACCCATTCTTTCTTCACTTTATCCTTGTCTGCAGCACACCCTAAAGCTGAGATGCTAAAACAGCAAAGGGTTGCATCTACGAAGGTGTGAAATACTTGCAGAACTGCAGTGGGTAGCATGCTAAATAAGACGCTAGCAAGGAAAAGGCTTTCAAGATAAGGTGCAACTTACTTACACTTCAGCTGTGCTTAACTCTAGGCCGTGCTCACTTGGGCACTGTGAGCTCCTGGACACTAGCTCCTCAGCTAGCACAAAATCAAAGTATTGCTGGGCATGCACAGAGAAGCAACTTGAAAACTTGAGGTTTCAGTTCTGGCCCAATGAAACAAGCTAATGACAAGAAAGTGACACTTCCACAGCCTTCTGTCCATTCAGATGTTAATCATCAAGCAGCTGCCTGCTCCAGGTACTTGCCCATCTGAAGGGAAACTCCTAGCATAGAGCCAAAGGATGCAGTGGAAGTGTGTTCTCTGTTTAGTACAGCACCTGGTTCCGGACACCAGCTTAACTTCTAGCTGGAGGTGAAGTGCCTGTTGGTGTGGTGCTTGCAGGTGGTTGTTTCTTTCCTAACCTGCCTTCTAGAGTGCAGATTACTACTACAAGAATCCATCCTTGCTGTTTGCCAGGGCTTCATCCTGGCTGGGGACTGAGCTCAGGGGAGAGCTGAAAGCTGTAGTGCTGACTGCTCTTGCACAGGGGCAAGTTCTGTTGCCAGAATTCTGTTGCTTTCCTTTTCATGTAGCTCCAGCTAGGCTAACATTTTGGACTGTATTTTTAAGCTAATCCATGCTTTCTAGTGGTCACAAGTAAAAAAATTCCTTAGTAGTTAATAAGCAAGGTTCTGAAATTTGGTCTCTTTTCATTTTAATGATTTGTAGTAGACAAAATAATCTGAGGTCATACATCTTCCCTACATTCACATGGCAGTACTAGCAAAGGCCTAGTAAGATAGATGTTGCTATTCTGGCAAAAGCTAGATGTGCTTCAGCAGCATAGCCTCTCATTCACTGAACCAGAGCAAGCTCATGCTATAGAATTTGAAAGTGTAACTACTAGGTTATTTTGCTGTGGAAGGCAGGGTGATGGAGGGGTGAAGATAGCCCCAGCTGCCATGTCTAGATAGAGCCCAGCTCTTCACTAGGGTGTTTCCAGGCATAAAACATCCTGAAGGTCAACTCATCTGTATGTGTCTATTCCAACAGGAACAGACATACAGTAGGAATAGTGTCTACACCAGTACATTACACAACAGGAGAAAGTGTTTCCTAGTGAAACATGAGAGAGGTGAGGCACATATCTCCTACATCTATTGAAGGCAGAAGCTACACATGACTTTAACTGGGCTTGGGCTGCTTAATTTCAGCACTAGGAAGGTTATGAGAACAGTATTGCTTTGACTCCATATACATATCTGTGCTTCAGAGTGCAAGCTCCATATTGCCATAAAATAAAAAGGGGCAGGAAGGGGCAGGTTTCTGAGATTTAAGCTTGACTGAGCTAGAGCCAGCTCTCAGGCCCACAGGGAGCAGGGACTTAACAGGGCTGGCTCTAGGCACCGGTACTTGGTTTGCATCTGCTGAAGCAAACTCTCCTGGCTAGCGTACTTGGCTGGGGAACGAGAACTGCACCAGCATGGAAGGGGTCAGCCATAGTGTTACCAGTCCATCCAGGGGAGCCACAAACAACATTGCTCAGCTCCACCTCCTTCAGTTAAATCACTTTATCACTTTTTTCCCCTACTTAGAGCTGACCCTCTCTTGGTCTCTTAGGTAGGCTGACTTGCTTCCTCCTAGCTAGAGGTCTATGGTTCTGCTGTAGAAGTGGGGAAAGCTACAGTTAGCTTCCAGTGGAAGCTGCTTTTGATCTCCCTGCAGTATCTGCAGGGGAGGGAGGGAAGGAACACTACTGATTCAGACAGAACAAGCTGCAGAGGATGCATCTTAACTGCTATACCTTTAGGGGGTCTCTCCCCATTTTTAACTTGTATTATAAGCTTTTATTCAAGAGTAAAGCTCAAACCCACTCAGACCAAAAGAATGCCATTTGATTTGTTAAGTAGCAAAGACTAATGGGACTGACTCTGAAGCATGCATGTTAGGGGATATCTTCTGCTAGGCTTCTGCTGGGTGTAAGCAGATAGTGGTGATGGGCTTGCAGGGATTTTGGATTCTGTTCTCAAGAGGCCTGGCTGGGGGAAGAGACCCTGACTGGTCCTCAAGTCACCCATTACCCAAGGAACCAGTCATATTGTTCCTTTTAATATGCAAGTGCAGCCCTCTTGGGGAAAACTGTCTAAAGCTTCTTGTGCCATTTGGTTAATAAAAGTGTTTCCACCTTTAAAAGAAAGTTCTTTCCAGCTTCATTGTTCTATATTCAGTTGAAGTGAAGGGGTATGTACATTTTTTCCCTCTGCTAATGGGACACTGCTGTAAGATCATGCCCCCAGGTTGCACTTTAATAAATGGTACAGTTTTCAAAAACTATGTGTAGAGTACTTCTGTGCTTTTTTTGTCCCCTCTCTGTTTTAGTGCAGGCACAAGGGAAAAAAAGGTGGTTTTACTTGCACAAGATTTACTTACGCAGGACCAGAGTGTGTCTGTTACTGCCAGCTGCATCATAACAGTAGTAAATTAGAGGAATACCCTGAGAACTCACACAAAAAACCTGACACCACCAAGGGAAGAAAAAAAAAAAAAGAGATGAAAGAGATGCAGGGGGAAACTGAAATTCTTAAGAGCTGTACTGCCATGAGAACTGACAATTTTATTTAAGTTAAAAAACCCACAAAATATTTACATCAGTTCAGAACTTCTGAGGCAGCTGGATCACAGGTGAAGTCTTTGCCACCTGAGTCCAAGTTTGTTGAACCTGAGATATGACTGCAGTACACTCAGAAGACATGCCAGGTATTCTTCCTGATCCCAGGCTGATACTGTCTTTCTCTTGATAGCAAGATTCTAAAGCTAAACACTCTTCCTCAAGCATACCCAGGTTGTGTTCCCTGAAAGAATTTGCCCTGTACACAGCCCTGCCCTTTTCTTTACAATTTCTCATTCAGTTTTATTTTTCAAGGAAGCACAGGTTTGTGGCAATTGATGCTGAAGCATCTGTACTTTAGCCTTCCCTGGCCAAGCACCCCTACCTCCTTTAGAGTTGTTTCCTCTTGCTGCCAGCTGCCCTCCTAAGACAGACCTGATTTTCACCCCCTTTGTGATCTGTGCTGATCACCCATTCTGCAGCCTGAGGCCTTCCTGGGAACAGTTAACACTCAGCATGGCTCAGCTGCAGCACCAGGAACAGGGCTGGGAAAAGAACTAAAGCAAAATGCTATAGCTGATTAGAGAAAAAAAAATTACTGAGAAGGTGGGCTCTGTGCCCACAGTGTTTCCCTGGAGGCACAAGGCAGGGCCTGCACAGAGTCTGCTACTACTAAAGGAAAAAAGAAAAGTACTATAAAATTAGAGAGGGCAAGCACTACTCCTTACAGGAACCGGCAGAGCTGGCACGCAGCTCACACTACCATTGCTGTGCTAGTCTACAAAAGCCTGTCTACAAAGCTCTGCCTTCCCTTTCACAGCTGTATCTCAGAAGTTAAGAGCAGAAAGTGATTGGCATACATCAAAAAACGTAAAAAGCCTTCAATAATCCACATTCTCCACGTGGAGGGCTGGAGAGCTCACTCGCGTAGCTAGAGGGAGAGAAACAAAACCAGCATCAACAGCAGCAGAGCAGTCACCCACAGCCAGCCCTTCTCCCGGCAGCTCTCAGGTCCCCCACACCACAAACCATGTCCCAACTCTGCTGCCTGCTCTGCTGTGTTTGGCATCACCCCTCAGTCCCCACCTACCCTAACAGGGTCTCCAGTCTCCTGTGCTAGTGACAGGTTTCCATGATAACACAGGTTTCCATGATAACGCAGCACCTTTGAGCTAAGCTGAGCAAAAAGGAGGGCAGCGCTGAGTGACACCTGACAGCAACACTTGTGTTCCTTGCTGCCTGGCAGAGAGCAGGGTGGCTGTGCGGGGCAGCTGCCCACTCTCCTGACACAGGGCTAGCCAGGTCCTTCTGCAGGCTGCTGCCTATGCCATCTATGGCAAGGCTGCAGCACCGCACAACTGGGTCACCACTGTTAAACAGAGTGGCAGGATCACAGCCCTGACCACTCTCAAACCTCATTCTTAAGAGGTACTAGTATATCTGTGTGTGTGCACGTGCGCGCACACACACACACACAGGGGATTTCTTCCTCTCCCTTCCCCGGCAGGTTAGTTACTGAAGCTGGGGCCAAGTGCCCTAACCTCTACCCTGGGTTGACTGCTGGCTGTTTAGTCTCCCCACCAATGCTGCAGCTCCAATAGAGAACAAGAATGGAGATGCCATTTCCCATCTGACCATTTCTCATTGTTCCTCTGCTGCTGCTGTTTCTCAGGGGCAATTCCCTTCCCCCTTCCAGTTCTTCCAAGCTCTGGGGAGCTCAGGCAGACAAAAGCAGAGACCTCAGGGCTCAAGACACTTGGGAAATACAGCCATCAGAGCTCAGGTCAGGCTTTCCTTCCCTGAGGGCATGATTAACCTAGGTCTTTTAACCCAAGTCTTATCAGCACAGCTCCCTGAACAGACTGCAGGGAGGAGAGGAACAATCGCAGCTCTTTCTCTGCCCTACCAAAAAAATGCACTCTGTTCACCAGCTGCTCTGGGTGGGGCAAGCAGAAGCTGTGACATGTCCCCCTCCAGCCTCCCTCAGTAACATCACCCTTCAGAGCTCCACAGGGACTGGCGTTCCCTTCCAGCCAAACTTCCAGAGCACAACAGGGAAACCAGCCCACCCGGGGCAGCTCAGAGCTAGGCCACACCACCGGGAATAACTCGGGCCAGCTAAGAGGCTGGCTGTGACTCGCACCGCGCTGTTTGACAGCACTCACCATTCTGACAATGTAGTTGTGGAGCTGCTGGCTGATGTAGTTCACAGTGGTGCTGAAGACACGCTGTAGAAGGGAAGGCATTGTATTTGCAATTTTCTTAGTTAAGACCATTGCTAGCACCAACATGGCCTTCTCCTGTTCCATATCTGAGGGGATGGCTCGTGCAAGCCCTTCCACTGCCTCTGACATGCGCCGGGTTATCTCCTGTATGGAAGAGAGGGATCTCAGTGCAACAGCTGTGGGGAAAAAGGGGTCACAGCACATCCTGGTGACACTCCACTGGTAACTGATGGGCTTGTTCTAACACCTCAGAGGATGCTGCTCCCCTTCCTCCCAGGCACAGCAGCCTGCCTGTTACACACCCTGGATAGCAATAAGGATGACTATCTCTGAGCTCCGTTGCTCACTCAAGACAAAAAGAAAGGGAGACAATACACATACAACTGGAAAATTGAGATAGCACCTTACACGCTCAGGGTGCAGCAGCCCCCTTCCTCCCCAGGGTTTGCACCTAGCCTGCCAAGTCCCAAAATGGCAGAGGAATCCAGGGGCTCCCATGAAGGGCAATCCACCTTAAACACAGTGAAGATCAGGGGTACAAGCTTGCTGCTCCAAAGTCAGAGCACGAAGGGTACACAACATTTAAAAGGGGAACTGCTAGTCAGGTTGCTTTTCACTCACCTCTCCAGACAGATTCTCATTCAGAAAGTGTTGCACTAAATCATTTACTACTCTTGCTTTGATTTCTTTATCAAACTGGTCTCCAATCTCAGCAAGCTGAGCAGCAATGATCCGGACAACTTCTTCATTTACCTGAGGGTCAAACACTGCCAACACATACAGCAGGACTTAGTTCACAGGCTGTAGACAGACTAGGTTCAGTGGGGGTAAGCTGACCCATAGCATTTTGCCCATCTCCATTAACAACCCCCGTCCAACCCCAACCCCAATCATAGTGCATTTGTGACAGCACTTCAACTCCCTTGTGTACACTCAACTCATTTACCAGAGATGGTGTGCAAACAGAGTTTCTTTATCTGTAGTTTAGGTAAAGTGCAGCCTCACCCTGCCCAAAAAACACTACAGGGGAACTCAGAACATCTCCAACCAAAATTTGTACAGGACAGCTACAGCCCACACCCTGCCTAGAGAGGGGGGGGAAGTGAGATAGTGTGCATGAATTTTTTTTTTTCCCCTCTCAAGTGACTACTGTCAGGACCTGTCTCAAACACCATCTAAAATACAGCATCTCAGATTAGTTTGGGTTGGAAGGGACCTGTAAAGGTCAGCTAGTCCAACCCCCTGCAATGAGCAGGAACATCTTCAACTAGATCAGGTTGCTCAGAACCCCGTCCAACCTGACCTTGAATGTTTCCAAGGATGAAACATCTACCACCTCTTTGGGCAACCTGTACCAGTGTTTCACCACCCTCATTACGAAAAATGTCATTTTTATATCTAGTCTAAATCTACCTCTTTTAGTTTAAAGCCATTACCCCTTGTCCTATATCCTTTTGGCAAAGCTTCCCACTGTCATTTGAGGCATGAGACCTATGCAGACTTACATGAGGGAGGGCTATTTGCTGCAGCAGTTCCTCCTCACCCTGCTTAGGTTGAGGTCAATGTGCCAGCCAATACATCCTGGGCAAGGGGCAATAGCCATCCTGCAGATGGCTACTGAAGCAGGAATGGTACCAGGAACTATCTGAGGAATAGTTTCCATCTCACTGGTAGAGCAGAAAGGGATTCACTCAGTACCAGAATAAGAGTTGTTCCAATATCCTAGCCCAAGTACTGATACTCCCTGAGGAGCAGTATGAGGCCTAACTTAACTGCTTACTATCATGCTCCTTGAAGACAGCAATCATTAGTACCAGCTTTGTGGCTCTGTCTCATGTGCTGTAGATAAAAACCCAGGGTGACAGGTGCTCTAAAAATCCATGGGGAGATAAGTGCTAAGCACTAGCTGTCTTATCCCAAGTGTTAAAATCCCAGCTACCACCAACAGCCACACTGTGAAGTCTCTCAACAGAAAAAACATCACTCCTCTGAAACAGACCAGCAGCAAAGATGGGAAAAAAGGGAAAGAAAAGCTCCACCTTCAGAGAGGCATGTAAGATGGAGAAAAGAGCACTCACCTAGCTCACCATTCTGCAAGTGGCCACTCCGATTGCCATCGGTCTGAAGTTCCACCTCATCATCATAGTAGTAGCTGCCTCTCAGGAAAGGCCCCTGGCTTTGCAGGGAATGCAGTTGCTCTCTGAACTTACAGTCAGAGGATACCTCCAGGAAGGTGTACAGCAGTGCACACTCCATCTGGACAGATCCATTGATCTTAAACATAAAGAAAAATCATGGTTAAGCCCATGCCTAGGAAAAGTGTGCTGTTTCCCAGCCCTGAACACATTTTTCTGGCCGCCTTTGGGCATTCCTGAATAGCGTTATCCAGGAAGTCCACAAGACTTCAGCAAATGCATACTAGCTCCTGGATGTGCACCCACGCAGAACTGTCTGATGATGAATGATAGCTCTGTTCTCAACTCACCTCTTCCTCATACTTCCAGATGTGGCACTTACAGAAACCCCAATCAGAGCTCCTCTTTTGAAACAGATGCATACACAGCACAAACCACCCACTTCCCCCTGTTCAGATGTCTGTGTTTGGAAGGTTTTTTTACCCCTGTATTTGCAAATTTGGCATTCTACTTCCTGTGCATAATAAAGCCAGCAGCTCCCCATTCAAATGTAATCAGAGCACAGCAGTAACAAGGTGGGAAACAGAGATAACAGCATAAGCCTCCAAAAAACTCCAAGGTTTACATTTCTTCTCCCTCTTCAAAGGCATCTCTACTAGCTCCATAATAAACCTGTTCAGCTCCCTCTAGAGAGCCAAGCAGCTGCTCACAAGAATTGTGACAGTGAGATGGCAGATCATTGGTGTCTGGTATCATCTACACTGATACATTCACCCTCAGTCAACAGGCACATGTTGCCTCCAAGCAAGGCAGCACAGAGTGCCCAAATTACTTAGGTTGAGGAAGTCCCTATGGCAGTCAGACTGATGTGAGCAAGAGGTCCCACTAGAATGTGGGGCCTCATAACCAACTAAGGCCTCTGCAGAAAGCCAGGAAACTGTCCAATAATTTTAGTTAAGCAGCTAAAAGAGGAGGATGTTGTGTAAGCACAGAAATAAAGTGAGGAAAAAATCCTTACTGTGGTATGCAGACTGTCTGCTTATAAGATAAAAAAATGCTTAGGCTTAATTGTAACTGGGGAGAAGAATCAAGGCTAAAGTAGAATGGTTTGTCTTGCCAACTGCATAGAGTAACCAGTATGCAACCAGGATGAACCTGATAATTGAAAAGGAGTTTCAGGTACCTTTTGAGGAGTGGAACTTTGCAAGGCCACCTATATCTACATAATCGTATCAGTAATATCACACAGGACCCATATTGCCTAGGCAAAAGTAGCAAAATTGCGACAAATACAGAAGTATTAATTAAGGATGGGCTGTTTACTTGAGAGGAGACTAGGCAGAGAAAGGGAGGAACAAAGATAACAAAAAGGAGAGTCCAGAAATGGAAACCAATGGAAAATAAGGTATGTGATCAGTCAGAGATCAACAGAAGGTATCTCTTGCATGACTTGAGTGTGGATGTTTACAGACACAGCAGTGAAGCTCCCCTGGCGACCCAAGCCCGCTGGAACACCAGAGGCGATCCCCTTCAACAACCTACTGGACTAATCATCAGGTTTCTATTCAAAAGGCTTGTGGGAGGGCAAAGACAGTTATAATTGTACCCTCACACTAGGTGGGGTGAGGAGGGTAATAAGATATTTCAACAGCAGTTTAATGTAGTTAAGAAGATTTAAGCATGATAAATAGTAGCTTCATAATTGTGATTAATATTGCAGAAAACAATGCAATAAGTTTCAGTTGTGTGTTTTAATTTATTAGTTTTAGCAGTTTATAGCTTAAGCAATAAAAACGGTAGTCTCTTAAATAGCCACATCTCCACCCTGCAGTTTAAAGGGGGAGTGTCACACTGTGAGGTGACAAGGAAGCAGCTTGCAAACTAAGTGGTTCCATCCACTTTTTGTCTGTATTCATGATGGAGAGGAGCAGTGTCGGGGCCCCTGCATGAACTCTGAGGAAGATTAGAACACCACGAGCCAGCACTTTGAGAATCATCCCCTTGGAGTTACCTCAGAATAAGTGTGCAAGAGAACCACTGGTCACTGTGAACTATTGAATTCAGTCTCATTTGAAACTAACCTGTTCCATGATGGATTCAGAGACAGAGCACCTCTTGTCACCCTCTGCTTCAGAAGTCCTTGCCCTGCAAAAGAGTGAGAAACAAAAGGGTGAAAGGAAAAAAATTTCCCATAAACCCACACTTTGCAGCAGTGCTCATGGGTCTGGCCACACCTTGTAGAAAGGGACCTTTTTAGTGATGCATACCCGTATTTCTGGAGAGGGCTGTCCATCACACACTGACAAGTCATAAAAAAAGGCTGAGAAACCACAACTGTCCCAGCAAGAAGGGCCTTATTCACATGAATGAGAGGTATGAAACTCCTTCCTGCCACAGATGTGTAGAAGACAGTGGAGCAACATAACCTACAAATGGGGCTTTAAAGCCAAGAGGTAGTGCTAGAGAAGCGAGGGACAATCCTTCATTGTGCCAGTGGCTGGAAGGGAAGGCAGGATTATCACAGAGAAGCCTCTGGCCCTGCAAAGGTAATCCATGGCTCTTGGGTTTCCCAGGTTCCCGAGTACCTACTGAGTGCAGGTGAGCTGCTTGGGTCTGTGTGCACAGCAGCATACTCTGAAGTGAAACACCCAGCTGACATTGCAACACAACTGCAGGACTTCAAGTGCACCTCCCCCGCCTCCCCCATGCAGATACACATGTGTATACTCAGGCTTATTTCAACACTTTCCCAAAAAGTATCTAGGGATGAGGAAGGTTGGACCAAGTGTCATCAAAGGCTTCTAGTCACATAAGCACAACTCCACCAAGCCTCCAGGGAGACCAGTTAGGAAGAAGGAAGGAAAACAGGACCCAGGCCACAAGCTCCTCTGCTCCCATGGTGCATGCTGAGGGCTGACAACCCCCAGCTTGCCTTGTGGCTGGGCAATGCCCAATGGAAGAGGCATGCAGGGAGGGCACAGAGGGTGGCCTCCCTCACCCACTAAGAAAGGGGAGCTGCTAAGAGCACAGTGCTCTCTCCTCATCCAGCCAGGCATAGCTGATGGGTGGGTCAGACCAGCAGCCCAAGTAGTCACATCTGGTACAGGAAGTTCCACAGCAAGAAAGGTGTGAGAGCAGCACAGCAAGTGCCGGTAACACAAGGCTACCTAGCAAATGCCAAGGCAGGGAAGATAGGAATCCTGCTTGTGAACCTTGCCATTTGCTGCCTTAGATGCAACAGTCCCACAACTGCACACAGAAGTCTCTGGTGCAACCTGGCTTCAACTCTTGATGAGCAGGGCCAGGCTGAAACTGGGCATTACCTTCCTACCAGGTCTTCTTCACCTAGGGTGACAACCTGGATGCTGCACAGGTAACTCCTGACCAAAAACGGGATGAAAGCACAAGGAGTCCAAACTGATGGCCTGCTGATCATCAAAGACCTGGGCTAGTGATGAATGATCCTATTTAATAGTAACAACCCTCACAAATCTGCTTTAAATAACTATGTGGGCAGGTGGAAAAGAGGAAGTGAGAGTAGAAATGAAGTCAAACTCTGAAGGAAACCACAGTAATAATTTCAAGAGACCAGGAAGTCCCCAACTTTTCAAAGACTCTTAGAAGTCCCCAAGACAAAACACAATCTCAAACATATCTGAAACACACAATAGCCTACAGGCAGCCCCTTAACCATGAGCTCTTTTCATTTAATTGTTGCATCAGACTAATGGCTTCCTAACACACAGGCTTAGCCTTTGCTGCTTTGCATCATACCATTTTTCTCAGTTCCATTCAAATCCATATTGCCGCTACTCACCTCTACCCTAAAAAGCGTGCTGGCTGGGGTGAATGCAGTCCCCTCTGTCCTCTCTGGGACTGACAGGGCTCTGGAACAGGTCAGGGTGACCCTCCTCCTGGGCTTGACTTTGCTGGAGGACAGACAGATATATTAATTCAGGTTGGAGAACTTCAGACAGAATCCCTGAGAATAAGAGGAAAGTGGGTGTTTACCATTAAGTCTGTGGCAGGACTTTGGCTATATGCAAACTCCTCAAGAGTTGTCTACATCAGCAGCATTTCTGTAGGCCAGGCAAAGCCTCAACTTGCACATTTTTAACAGATAACATTTTCAATTCAAATTAAGTCAGCCCAAAACCAAGGTGTTCGTGTTACAACGAGTAAACTGGATGACCTCTGATACTAACTCCTACTGAATTAAACACCACTTCCTGAACCACCATAGCTTAGGCCACAAGAACCCTGAAGTAGTATTGAGCCTCTGCTGTCCACATCCCATTTGCCTTTAAACACACATTCATCACAGCAACCTTCTTTGGGCTTTACCAGTATCGTGATCCCTACCCAGCTCTAGCCTATGCCAAAAGCTTCATGCGGGACCACAGCAGTACTCTACAACTGGTCAGATTAACCCATGCTGGCTAATTTGGACTGGTTATAGCCAGCTGACTTCACAATGCAAGTACAGGCTGAACAAATCTCCCTGTCTTTCAAGATGCAAGAAGTTGGACCATTCTCCGTTCACACCACAGTACATATGCAGAGAGGCAGATGTTCTCCTGCACTTCTGGCAGAAGTGTGATGCAATACAAGCTACTACAGCTGCAAGTTGCACACCAAGTGGCCAGATGTGCTGGTGAAACTAGCCGAGAAAGCACCAAAGATTTCTCACTCGCAAAAACTTTACAGCAAAACCTCTTCCACCCAAACCTAGACAAACTCTGCTAGGATGACCTGCTTTTTCTCATTGATAAGAATTCCAGTAAATTGCTGGAGGGCAAGTTGAGCACAGCCAGGTGGCAATAAATAGACTAAATATAACATCAGCCTGCAATGGGACCAACGTAATCTTTCTAACAGCAAGAGGATGGAATAGAAATCGAAGTCAAGACACTTCCTTGAGGGGTTGCCACCTGCCACATCTTTCTAAGGAATGCTCAGAATGTGGCTTTAAAACCCAAATTCCCTACATTTTTTGTCACACTATTTCACACTGCCAGGAAATTCATTTGGTTCAGTCCAAACACTCATGAACGAGGCTACCAAAAGGAAATGCACTATTGTCTTTTTCCACTCTCTGCTTTAAAAGAAGAGGCACTAGACCACTCCGGTGCTGGAAAGGAGAGAGGC